CATGTTAATTTGGACGTCTAGTTTCTGCCACACTAGATGGCAGCACCGAGACTCTATTTGGATGCTAAAGTGCACTAGGAATTTAATTTTGCCGGAAATGCCAAGAGCCAATAAGGCACTCCAGGGATCTTTTACATGCCGCATAATCATACGACATGGCCGCTGAGGATTTTCTGCATCCCGAAAATCCGGTGTCTGGGCCGGGGATCGAACCCGCAGACTTGGGCTCAGAAGGCCGATGACAAACCAACTGCGCCACCCAACCACTTATAGCATATATATAGATATAGTTAGATAGATAATTTAGCATAATAAGAAAAAGACATGGACAAATTAAGTAAAACTTAACTTCTTTACGTTAATCTCAATTAAAGGATACTCAAGTTATGAGGAACACAGAGGTGGCTCGACAGATATGGATTACTGTGCTGAAATGTCCGAAGTGTTTTGCGTAATTTACGCTTTCCGAACGGATTTTAAATTATTGCTAAAATTCAACACATAAACTCTTGAAAATTGAAATAAAAATGATACTTGTTTAAAACTAAATAAGATCGGAGGTATTAGAATACTTCAACATTATGCCTCAATATAGTTTAGAACAATCCCAATTGCAAATATCTGTTAACTAGACAGCCAGCATTAAATTGTCCTGTACAACTGTAACCAAGCCACAGTATATTTCTAATTATTCATCCCTTTCTTCAATCTTTTTGAATAGACCAAATGTTGCCTTTACCAACACTGAAGTGTTTAACTATTTTCAAGAGATGTTTGAAATTTCAGGCAGCTCTTCTACCGTAACTTGAAAATTCAGAAATAAATCTAATTAACTACTTCTATAAGAATACAAAATTATTCTAAACTATTCAGCGCTACCGAAATTATCAAAAAATGGAACTACATAAATACTTAAAGTATAACTAACATGTGTTTAAATTATTTCCTGACAAAATGAATGATAATTGATAGAAAAATAACCGATTGCCACATAAGAGAAATACGAGGCTCATCCAGAAAGTAAGTTTCCCTATTTTTTTAAGGAAAAGAAGTCACACTTTCAGGAACATATTTATTGACAACAAGTACAGCAATGTTTCAGCTATTTTTCAACATAGCCACCACCAGAATTGAGACACTTGTCGTATCGTGGGATCAACTTTTGTATACCACTGTCGTAGAACTCTGCCGCCTGTGAATGGAACCAGCGTGTGAAAGACGTCTTCATCTTTTCGTCGTTGCCAAAACTCTCATCGGAGGACAGGAATTTCTTGAGGTGTAAGAAAACGTGAAAATTGCTGGGAGCAAGATCTTTGTCATGGAGGAGCACAATACCTTCAGTAAGGATTCCACGCCTCTTGTTTTGAATGGCACGTCGCAATTTCCGCAGTGTTTCACAGTAACGGTCAGTGTTTACTGTTTCTCCACGTGGATGGAAGTCAATGAACAGAATGCCCTTCCTGTCCCAGAACACCGTGCACATCACTTTTCGTACCGACAGCGTCCAAAGCGTTGAATTTTGTGTTCGGGTGTCAGGTTTTTTGACACAGACGTCTACCGTTACTGTGACACACTGCGGAAACTGTGACGTGCCATTCAAAACAAGAGTCGTGGAATGCTTACTGCAGGTATTGTGCTCCTCCATGACAATGCTCGTTCCACATACGGCACGACGCACACCAGCTGTTTTGACGGAATTTGGCTGGGAGTTGTTTAACCATCCACCCTACAGCCCTGGTATTGCTCCCAGCTCTTTTCCCTTTTTCTTCCACCTCAAGAAATTCCTGTACTCCGCTGGTATATGCCACATCTGGTATATACAATCGTACAAAGAGCGTATGCAGTCCACCAATCCAACAGAAAAACTCCCAAACAAACTGGGCAAACTTTCTATCACAGCAAAATTATTTTTTTTTTGCTTCCGGCCGAAAAAAAAGTGATAAAACAAAGCGTACCGACAAATTCTGCTTCTCCCAAGTTTTCTCGGGATAATCAGGGAAAGTTGAAGTACTTTTTCTCTCTTGCAGGGTGCCAGTAAATTGACAAAAGAAGATATCGAAAGAGTATTCAGCCTCTACGATAGAGTAAGTATCCCTACTTCATTCTCAATATCCATTCTGTTTTCAACAATCCTGACCTGCTCTACTTCCGGTTAGAAGGCATACAGCTGCCTACTATAGTTTATTCTGCGAGGCGATAGTTTCAAACACATGTTTAGAAATAAATTATGCAATTCTGAGCTCAAATCGCAAGATATTAATGATACTAGTGTGCTGTGCCCCCTGATCGCTAACGCTCGCCAACCCCCGAAAATTGCTGCGCAATCTTATATGGTTTGCTTCGCAAACCAAGATCGCTTCGCTTGCTACTAACTTAAGTACATTGCAAATGCACAAAATTCTGAGAATTCAAAACAATCATTCAAATCCATATAACAACTTTTTTTTTTAAAACATATTACATCTTTTTAGTAAATACTAAGTCATTAAAATAAATTAGAATTCAAATAAATGACATGTAATTCGTTAAACCTATTAGAAATGTGTTATAGTATAATTCGTAATATAAATCAAAAATCGTCAAATAAATTCGTAATATATAAATTCGTGAAAAAAAACGCTTTCGACAAAATACTAAAATAGAGATCTATCGACAAAGACTACTCACTTCTGCCTAGCTTATGCTCTCTCTGGTTATTTCAGTTTTCGTTTTTAAAAGCGCTATATGTTGAGCCACTTCCGCTAGATTTGGCATGTGACATCTTTAGCGGCAATCATTAGTCGATTCGCCGTGTAAAAGAAATAGTAACGTTAACAAAACAAAGTAAACGTTGCCACCGGCCGAAAAGAAATACAGCCAAAATTTGGGAGTCACGTAAGAGAATTATATATATTAAGATTAAGTAATTCTGGTGAGTTTGAAGGTAAAATTTGTTTTAGTTATGAAGGGATGTATTGTTAACAGAGATGGGAGTTTTTAGCGGATTTCCGCTTTTGTCTCTCGAATTTCAGCTTTTTTATCAAAGACTCCGAATCTCTAAAAGTTTAAGTTTTTTTAATAAATATCGCTTTTTCTGAAAATTCAGTCGTTGAAATAAAGTAATTATATATATTTAAGATTTTCAAAGATAAACAGAAAATTCAAACTACGTAACCCAACCCAGAGGATAAGGGAACTCCTGGATTGAGTATTGGAAGAAATTTGCCTCCGTGGAGGACTTTTTGATGGAGCCAACCCGCATTTGCGTTGCATGGAGAGGAAGACCACGAAAATCTCCCACTGTTAGCCTGGCGGCAAGGGGACTCTAACCCATGATCCGTCTACCACTGAGGATATTTCACGTCAGCACTGTGGTCGGTGCAAGCCGGATGCGGGATTCGTATCGACTGGGATTCGAACCAGGTTCACCGCATTGGAAAGCGAACCATCTATCCCCTGAGCCTATCATCGCGGCTCTATCGAACGAATTTTATTTTTATCCGTCGTTGAAGAGCCGACCCAACTTTGGTTTTACGACTACTATTGTTCAACTCCGTAATTTTGAACCCAATCCAGAAGACAAGGAAACTCCTGGATCAGTACCCCCAGAGATATTGATATGTTATGGGAACATAGAGGACTTTGCGACTCAATAGATTCAGCGTGTATCAGGCACCATTTACGACACAGGGAGTCTTCAGTTGGCGGGGATCGAACCCACGAACTCTTGGACATGGCCCCAGTGCCCTACCAACCAGGCTATCCCGGCCTTTATCGAAGGAATTGCCGGGAAGCATTTCAGTTTCTGTTTGTGCCTTTCCCTGAAGCACATTTTTGAAAGGAATTTCGGTAGGAGAGAAGACATGCCTGAAAAATAGGTTGAATACGGGCAGATTAGGTAGGTTGAATACGGGCATCGTGACGAAAATAGGTTGAATACGGGCATCCTGACAGACGGTGTGATTTCGCTTCGAATTCTGACAGATGTGGTTTTGGCCTCTTTTTGCTTTCAATTGACTGACTGAGTGGCGGTTTGAAGCACGCCAGTTTCACATTGGACGCTACCAGCTTGTCTGGTGAGCTGCATATACAGAATACTGACCACACTAATTCCATTGGTCAGAGCCCTGATGGTAATGGGGATAGAGCGTTAGTATTCCAATGAAGTGGACCGGGTTCGAATCCCAGCAATAGCTGATCTATACGAAATCCGCATCCATCTTGCACCTACCACAGTGCTGACGTAAAATATTCTCAGTGGTTGACGGATCATTGCTTTAGAGTTCCCTTGTCAGGGTAACCGAGGGAGGTTTTAGTGGTTTTCCTCACTATGTAACGCGAGTTAGTTCCATCAAAAGCCTCCCTGTAATTGATCCAGGAATTCCCTTGTCTTCTGGATTGGAAACTACAAGGCTTAAGGAGTTGAACACGCTCCTTCATGGTGTTACAATTGTCACAAAAATTAGTGTATACATAGAAACAGAAATACAAGGGCTGCACACACACACATATATATATATATATATATATATATATATATATTCCTTCCCAACCTATGTTCATGTAATGAATATAAGTCGGATTAGAAGATGGAAGTTCTAAGTGTGGTATGAAAATCAGTGTAATCACATCACATAAACATTCAGCATCCAGTTTTTAAAAAAATAATAATAAAAAAGCATTGAATTGGACGATAAAATCTATATATTTTGTAACAAAAAAAGTATTTAAAAGTTTTTGTTGTGTAAAAATTGTGCCAATTATTTTTTAGGACAAAAATGGCACCATAGAAAATGAGGAGTTGAAAGGATTCCTTAAGGATCTCCTAGAACTCGTAAAAAAAGTGAGTGTTTGTTTTATAAAAGGTTTATTTTTTTTGTGGATTTCTTAAATCTGGATTTATTTTAAAATGCAAGGCCGTATTATGACCTCTTGAGGCCACTGAAAATATTTTGTTGTCCCCATTTTGCAATTAAAATTATATTATTATGCCAAAGTCGCGAGTTCATTCAAAATATAAAAATTTTTTAAAGGAAAATATTTATAAAGTATATATTTAATAAGTTAAATATAATATTATATAGGAAAATATTTAATAAGTTAAAACAAAAGAATTAAAATAATACAGGGTTGCCACGGGTGACTAAAATGTGACTATTTGCCACTATTTTTGACCTAAGGTGACTATGGCAACTTTTTTTTGCCTGAAAAGGCTAAAAAAGCAACTATTTTGAGGAAAAGGAGACTATTGGCAGACTTTTCTGTGGTCCTAGTGATGCTTTTTAGCATAAATTTGGTTGACAACCTGCGGTTCGCGGGATCTTCTGTATGTACACAACGAATTTTTTTTTCTTAAAAAATAAACAATTATTAAAATTTTGAATTGCAAATTTGAGTCATCACTTTTTAATGCGTTCAATTTGCACTGATTTCATTGTAAGTCTATTTTCTTTTTCAATCGCCTTTTCAACAGTTATGAAATTCTGCATGAACCCCAACTATATTAAGATGCGTAAATTGTTGAATTTAAATAATCACGTTTCACAATGTGTGTATATATATATTTGCTGAATCAATTATTCATAAAAGGGAAGAAAATTTAGAAAAAGTAAGTTTTTTTTAATGAAAAAGTATTATTTTGAATGAATTTTAGTAATTAAAAGTATTTAATTTTCTTGTATAAAAATTTAGTGCGAGAGCACTAAATAATATATAAAAATCATCCTTTTTGCCTCCAACTTGACTAAATGGATCATGGTATCTGACAATTAAGTCTTTTAATAAAATTTTATCATATTATTGAAATTTTTTTGTTTTTATTTAGGCAACTATTTTCATAGTTTTCAGCAACTATTTTCTTGCTTTAGGCTACTAAAAGCAACTATTTTGTCAATTTTTTTTCTGTGGCAATCCTGTAATATAAAAAAAAATAATTCATAACTGCTAATTACAAGTTTTGTGGAAAAAAAAATTTCCATTCGAAATAAAATTAAGAAAAATTTTAAAAAATTAACACATTTTTTTTTAATGTAAATTTCACTGTCACTTAAAGCTATTTAGATTATTAATAATAATTATTTGAAGGGTTTTCTACTGCCTGAAGCAATATAAGCTATACAGTATTGCAGCAAGCCTTCAAAAATAATTTAGAATAATGTTTTAATACAATATATTTTTCTGTGCATTCAGGATTTTACCATTTATATATTTTCATGAAATATATTTCTGTAAAAATGTCATAATAATTTTTGGAGTCACAAAGATTAGTTTTGTCTGTTTCTTATAATATTTATTTACAAGAAACGACTTTGTTAAAATAAGGAAAAATTATCTTTACTATAATTTCAATAGCCTATTGAAATTTTTACTATTTTAAATATTTAAATTGTGAAATTTAACTGCGCATTGCAAATAAACTTTTAAAAAGAGAAAATATTCATGATTATTTTACATATTAATGCATTATATCTTAAATGTTACATCTTATGTTAAAATGACCAATTTTGAAGTATACCTTCTACTAGATCTTAGTACGCATTTTAACGCTTAAAAAAAGAAAAAGAACTTTTGAATTTTAAAATTTCATACAGGCAAAGACGATAAAAAGAAAAATTTTGAAAATCAATATTTTCTAAGTCGAAGTACACCAAAGTTGACCATTTTAACAAGACTATTTATCAAACACCTGACTTTGGCTTTTCTTAAAAACAAATTAGTGAATTCTTTTAAACGTACGTATGCATATTATTGTAAATGGGCGAGAAAAATTGACTGATGCTGAGTGCTCAGCTATTATAGTTATTTTCAAATCTACTGGCAATTGACGTATATTTCTATAATATTTTGTTAATCATGTTTTTCTGCTTTAATTCAAAGGCTAAGTTTGATCTCATTTCATTTATATTATGTACCAACAACAATATTTTCCCACTCGTTTATGAAGATGACCAATTCTTATTTGAAAAAGATAAATGGATGATAGAAATATCTTATTTAAAAATTAATTTTATAAAAATATCTTTCTTAAATTTACTATTTATTTTTAATTTGAAATTTTCAGTGCTTTTCTTATTTCCTAATTATAATTTTATCAAAGTTCGTTATCAGATGTACAAAGTATACTCAATTTAATGACTGAAAATTTGATTTTATTGCTACTTATTTCAGACATTTGATTTTAAAATTAAATTAATTTTAATGGGTTCTCTTTTTAACGTATTTTTCAGGGTCCGCGATCAGACGGTTCATATTGTGAATTTACACATCTTTTGTGCTCCACTTTTATACAATTTGTATTATTACGAGACTCTAAGTAATTTTTTTCTTCTTTAAAAAACTAGCTTGCATTCATATTGCATAGTATATATTTTAAATCTTAAAATCTAATTGAAATATTCGATTTATATAGGCAGGGGTCTGTTTAGAAGAAATTTGGGCCCGTTAACGGACCCTTCACTAAATATCTTTTCATAAAAACAGACCCTTCACAAAATATTTTAACTTAAAAACGGACCCTTCACAAAATAATTTATCTTTTAATCGGACCCTTCACAAATTTGTTTATCTTCATTATTGTTTTGTTCATCAATAAACCCTACCCGGGAAGGAGGGGAAGAAAGACAAATGCAAACGAACTAAGTTTTGTCTTCTGCAGAAGTTCCTTCCTTTATTCATCCGAAATGAATATTCTGCGTTCAGCAGTATAGGCTAAATACCAAATATTTGTTTGTTGCATGTCTAAAATAGTAGCAGCAATTGCTATTTTTTTTTTAAATTTAATTCTTTTTAATTATAGTTTTACAGTGTTGAGCATAATCTTGTATGTCTTTACAATTTAAAAACTCCTTGAAAAAGTTTATTTTTGCAATAACGGGCCCTATTTGCACAAATTCACAAAAGCGGACCCTAATTGAAAGAATGTGACTTAACGTTTATTTTATATTCACAAATTACGAGTCATTTTTTCACAATTTTACAAAAAGGGACCTTTCACAACATGTCTGGACAGACCCCTGAATACTGTTTGTTGTAACAGTTTTTTTTATTTAATACTTAAGCCAACGCAAAGCTATCCCACCTTTCATTAGACTTTTTACTACTTTTTGCGCCCCTCAGAAATTGTGGGGCCTAGGCAATAATCAGGCCCTGCTGGTGCCCTACACACGTGCTTAGTTTGCTTAATGGTTTATGTCAGTGATTCTCAATCTTTTTTTTGTTGCGGCACACTTTTAACGATTTCGAAATTTGACGGCACACAATGAAAAACATTAGTTTAAACGTTGTTTACTTACCTATAGCACACTTTGTTAAATAGTTTGTGATAATAATTTTGAAACTGAAATAAAATAATATGTACTACAAAAGCACATTTATTAAGGGATTAATTATCTCCTTCGACCCATTTTTTATTAGTTAGTAATAGTTATTTATTTTTTTTGCTAGTTATTAATTGTTAGTTTGTTTTCTATAGTTATTATCTGTTAGTTTTCTTAACATTAACTGTTTTTTATTTGTGATTTCTTGTTAACAAGTTTTTTTTTTGCTAATTATTAATTGTTAGCTTTATTTTTGTTAGTTATCCTTCGTTAATTTGTTTTTATATATTTGTTTTTTTTTTAGTTATCCTTTGTTAATTTGTTTATTAATCGGATAGCTTTCTTTAATGATTAGCTCTTACAACATTTTTTTAAAATTGTGTGTCATATACAATTTAAGCACTTCCATCTTATTTTAAGATTGTCAGAGACAAGACAATCGCCGACAAAGATGTTCACGCGGTTAAAGTGTGGAAAAATTATAAAAAGTATATATATATATA